TAATAAATTGTATAACACTTTCATTGTATTACTAATTGACTTCAATGCTGCCAGATGCGCTTAATACTCGATTAAAATGCTTGTACAATCTTTTTCAAAATTAAGTATTCTTATATTTATAACATTTAGGATAATTGCCGAATAACGAAAGTAAATAAAATGTAACCTAGATCTCGTAAATAAGACATGTTGTAATCTAAAACTTACATATATGTAAATATAAGTATAATAAAAAATAGTAAAAAAAAATTGGTTCAAAAATTTTATCTGCTACTTATTTAATTAAAACTTAACAGACGAAATGATAATTAATACATATATATATACATATGTATATATGTATATATGTTAAAGAAAATCATCTTATACACAATAATGTAAAAATATGGTTATATTTTTATTATGTAAATTGTTATACAAAGTAATCATTTACATATTTTGTTAAGTAACTATAACGATTAGGCGTTAAAATTTTCTCTTCTTCTTGTTTTTATTAATAAATATTTTTTTTTTAAATTGCTTTCGCTTTTCATACATACAATATATTACATATATATGTATGTATGTGCATACTAATACTCGTATAATAACAGTGATTTAAAATTTTAATTTTATATTTAAAAAAAAAGTGGCTGCTATTCATTAATTTATGCACTTTATAATTATAAATGGAAAGTTTTTCTTTACTTCATTTTTTTTAATAATAATAATGATATGCAACAGTATAATGTACATACATATATGTACACCTACATTTTAAAGTCAATGTTATAACAGTAAATAATTATACTTGTTATATTATGCCAGTTTATTTACATTTCACATCTGCATTAAGTATGTATACAGAAAATGATTTTTTAATTTATAAATGTTATAAAATATTTGTATATATATACGTATATGTACATATTTAATATGAAAATTAAATTGTATATTATTATTTATATAAAAATATTTATAAAATTATTATAATAGAACTGTACATCAGGTGTGCAGTTATAATAGTTAAGAAATTGGGCTAAATTAATTTAAAAACCAAAATTTAAAATCTTTAAAAAGACGTTGTGCAACTACCAAAATATTTTGACAGTATTTCGAGAATATATTAAGTAAATATTTTGACAATTAAAAACTTCTAATAAAAAAGTTTATTTTTAATGTTGATTTATGCGTTTAAAATGAATACGTAATAAATTTCACACATTTTTATTGTGAATGCCATAAACAATGAATGAAAAAGTATTCTGCCCTCTGTTGTCATTAGAAATAACTTGCTAAGACGAATTCACAGTTTCTTATTGTTCACAGTTATAGTTTCTAATTTTATTATAAAATTATAAAATTCAAATCATTATGATATCATTAAAGTTCTCATGGTATTAAAGAGATTTTGTAACGTTGTATTTGGAAATTAACAAAATTTTGAAATATTGCATTTTTTTTGGCAACATTATTATGACATGCTTGAAATATATTTATAAAATATGTACCTATGTATGTATGCATGCATATTTACTGTAATATATTATAAGTATTACAAACTATTATACAATTTAAAAAATTCTACAATAATTTTATTTCAATCATTTTTGTGTTCAATATTAATATCTAATTTGTTTGTATAACACAATTAATTATTTACAAGTTAATACCCGTGTCTTAAAATGAATACAAATGCATATACATACATAAATTAAATTCTTGTGGTTAAAAAATTAAAATTCATATAAATGCGTAAACATATAGGTATTAAATATATATGTATATAAAACAGAAGTTTCTATTACCGGAAATATTAATATATCAATGTTGCTAATTAAATAATTAACAATTTATATAATAATAAAATTGAGTAGACACAAAATTCATGCTATTATTATTAAATATATTCGAATACCTAGTATAAATAATCTATTTATTATTAATTAATAAAAATAATTAAATTATTCTCTGCTATCTATGTATATATATGTATATATGTATATGCATGCCATATGCATAATTTCAATTACTGTCAAACTGTCAAACATTTATGTATGTATATCTTGTATGTATTATAATGCAATTACAAAGTACAATAATAATAATGATAATACAATAATAGTAATTTTCACCACACTCAGAAATATTCACCTTCAATATGAAAATAAAATGGAATGCAAATTAACTACAATATCAATAAACCAAATTCAATTATAATTATATTATTAGCAATAATAAAAAATATAAAAACAAAAAAAAAAAATCAAATAAATTTTTTTTTCTATTTTAAAATTTACAGTCTGTGTTTGAATCAAATTTATTAAGGAAATGAACATTTTTATATACAAAATATGTACACACATACAATCTAGTTAAAATATAAATGCTTTTTTATATATGTGTGTACATTATGTTATACGTTTATACATAAACAGTCAATAAAAATTATAACAAAACTCTTTAACAAGAATATTACAAAAATAGCAACAGTAAAAAAAAAATTTTTATTCAATTTCAATCAATTCACAATTTAATCATAAATAATTAACAAACAGTAGCAATAATAAAAACAAAAAAAAAATTAAAATAATGAACAAAATAAAAAAAAATAACTAGTGTTTTAATCAATCAATCAATCAATTATAATTAATAGTACAATACAGTAATATTTAAATATTAGAAAGAAGTAAATTCCAAGTAAATTCCGCTACCACATACCGCAATGACGTTATTTTATTATTGATCGTCATAATATATAAAATATACAATACAATTGTATAACAATATAAAAATATTATATTCAACTGGAGTTCCCATTCAATAATTGTATATCATAAAAATATAACAAGAGAATTAAAAAGGAGCAATATTCTCATATATTTTTAGATAAGGTAAGTGTCCCTATTACTGACATACTTCGCAACAAATTCAACTTTGGCGTGAGATATTTTATATGTGGGACACAATAAATGATCGTGTTTCCAATTTTTTGAATAATTTGGATAATTGAGAATAATGTTTTTTATAAAATTATTTAATCAAAATATTTTTTAATTCATAATTTTTCGATTAAAAATGAAAAGCAAAAATGTTCCTAATATTGACATAACCGCAAATGTTTGTGTCTATTACTGACAGTTTGTGTTCCTAATACTGACAATGTAATTTCATATGCTGTATCTATATTCTATATATGAATAATGGTTCAAATGGTTAAAGTGATAATATTCAATAAAAATGGAATAATTTAGATTTCTACGGATATTTCATCTTATTTAAAAAAGAAATTAAAAATGAATCAAAATATAATTCAAACAAAAAATAAAAACATATTTTTTATTGAATTAAAGGTAAAAATATGTGAAATTCAGCTGATTTGAATTTATTATTACTGTAGAATGTACTTTTGCTAGTAGTCTTAATATGTAACAATGAATAAATAAAAATTTTTAAAAGATATTTATGAAAATCTAATTCGAAATTACATAATGTTTTATAAAGTATTATAAGTTTTGCTACAAATGTATTCTTATAAATAATACCTAAAATATGATGTACCATATCACACGAAATTATAAGAAATCAGATCAATATATTCTAAAGCTGCTAATAAGCCTATTCTAAAGCTGCTTTTTGCTTTAACAAAGACTATTTATGTATTAAGTACGTAACGAAAGCAACCCATTCTCAATTTTTAGAACAACATTTTGGGTTATTAAAAAGGGCTACTTTTCTTATTTAAAGAGAACCATTTCCGTTGTGATATTTGTTATGACGTTAACGTTTACAGTAATTTTAAAGCATTTTTTTAGAAACCGAATTGTACTGTTTTATTGACAGTATTGTATACAATATTGATACACAATTTATTGGACGAATATCACTATTAAAAAGGTAAAAAGGTCGTAGTCAGATATAGGTTTTCACAAATGTAATCGATTTTCATTTGACTGAAATAGTTTAAACAATTTTAAAGTATAAAGAAATTATTTTAATTAATTAAAATGAATATCAAAATTAAAACTTTATACTGACATAATTTTGTACAAAATATTGACCCTCTTTAGATCGTATTACTGACACCAGTTTTTAAAGGTAAAATACTCCGAACCTGTAGTAAATTCTTAGTGTCAGAATTCGGACATTAGAAAGAAAATTCAAATTCGATTTTAATTAAATAAATACGAAAATAAAAATTTAAATATTTTAAAAATGACGTAATTTATAAAAATACGGATTTTTGACGTATTACTGACACATATGTCAGTAATAGAAGCATGGTCGAATTTTAGATGTTTCTAATACTGACAGAAATTATTTGTTAAAATTCTTATTTATTTAACGTTTTTAATCCGAATTACTTATAAAATAAGATAAAGAATAATCAAAATATTTAATTTAATATAAATACATATATTTTTAACCCTCAAATAAGTCAAAAAGCAATAAAAACAAAATCGGAAAAATTAAGCAAAAAGTATAAGAAATTCTCCAATTCAACCCACCATTGCTATGTCTATGGAAACAAAACTGATTTATGTTCAATATTTTGGAGTTATTTCAAAACTAAATAAAAGGAAGTATTGCGATAATTTGAATTAATCTAGAAATAAATATATATATATATGTTGTATAGAGAAAATCTCTTAATAATTATAAAAAACCTCATATATGTCAGTATTACCGCCACTGTCAGTATTAGCTACACTTACCTTATATTGTTATATTAAAAGGGAAAATATCAAAAATTAATTTAAAATAATAACAATAATAAAAATTGTAGTATATCAAATTCTAAATATTATATTATAAATAATAAACAATAAAAATACAGTGATTTTTTTGTTTCATTATACAATTTATTTAATAATTTAATTTAACGAGAAAAAACAAAACAAAAAGCATCAATAATAAATATTAATTGAGAATATTTCCTTCCCTCTCTCTCGCCCGTCCATTTTAAAAATATTCTTATGATATACTTGCTTAATTAACAATTTATAATTTTTTTATAACAGTTTTAAATACTTTCCTTATATATCTATATAACAATTATATTTGTGTTTATAAATTGTATATAGTATTTAAATATTAAATCATTCCGAAACAACCAATATATAATATTTTAATTAATTTAAACTCATTTATTAAATATTAATAGAAAAAAAAAGAAATATAGAAAAGTGATATACAATATACATACATATAATTTAAATTATAACAATTAATAAAATTATACTTACACATATAACACATTTAAAAGTTACTTAAAATTTACAACACAATTTACAATAAAACTATATATAGAGCAATAGAAAGAGTAAGAAATAAAAATCAAAGTGTTTATTTATTTTGTCACATGGGAATTCATGGGAATTTCCTCAAAACCCTTTTTAATTTAAAATTATACACAATATGAACTTATAATATAAGTATATACATATATGTACTTAGGTACTATAACATTTTTATAGTATATAACAAATATAATATATTCATAATATAAAACTTATACTTCCAATTAGATTAATTGGAAATATAGAGGCAGCAGTACTACCATATCAAAAAAAAAAAAAACACATAATATTCAACACAAAATATAAAGAAATAATAGTTATAATAAAAAAAATAAAACAAAAATTCAAGGATTAAGAAAGAAAAATTTCCACTTACCAAACAAAAAAAAAAAATAGCAAACTAGAATCATTAAAAATTCATTCATTTATAATCCAATCATAGGATAGTAGGAGCTATAGTAGTAAATTATAAAAAAAAATAAGGAAAAATTAATTTAATTAAATTTCATTTAATATTGGAATATTTTTTAAATCAATAAAAAATAAAAGAAGAGAAAAAACAGGAATAAATTCTACTTTCCTCCGAATATTGCAATTTGTTCTAATACCAAAAATTGCAATATTGAAAAAAAAAAAAATTCGGAAAATCAAAAAAAATTTCGGAAAATTTTGGATTTGACTCTTATTTTATTTAATAATCAGTAAATATCGAAAAAAAAATATAACATAAAAAAATGGGGAATTCATCGTCTCATACACATGAACCTCTTGATAGAGGTTTTACACGTGGAAAATTTGGAGATGTTAAAAATCCGGTAGGTATTTCTTTTTTTTTTTTTTTTATTTTTATTTGTTTACATTTTAAATGTAAGCATATCGTATATATAAGGTAAATAGAGTAGATAATGGATGCTTATATAACGTAAAATTACTTAATAAATTAAATATTTAAATATAAAATAATATCAATTAATTGCAAATTATAAATAAGAAAATTGAAAATGGAAAATAATTTAAAATTGTAATGAAAATTATTTACTTATTATAAATTTCGTGTTAGTTATGCCCCACAGTAGCTTATTATATGGTATATAGTTAGATGATTATCATCGGAAATGGTTAAAATTATATATGGCTTAATACAAAGAGCCACGGAATCGGAGAGAAGTAAAGAAGTTGTTGCCACGTAGTTGCTAATAAGAACCCTGGACAAAACATCATAGTATAGAATTAAGAAGACATAATCGAGGAATCGGAGCCTAATTTAGGAGTCGAATTCGGAATTTCATAAATGACTGGAACTAGATTTGAAACTCAAGTCGCGAATGGGATAAGAACTCGAGTATATGGGAAATGAATTTAAATTAAAAAACAAATGTACTATTTACTTGAATTTTTGACTTGAAATTGTAAAAATTTATAATTGGCTTCGCAGCTCTGTTTATATTTTGATCACGTAAACGTATTTCCTGCTTCTTATATGATAAATTTTATGGTTCTGAATTTGATTTTCTTAAAATTTCTATACGAACAACAACATTTCAATGGAATATCGGGAACTATTATTATTATTAGCCGAAAGTTTATAATAATAAGCCAAGCCTTGTTTTGGCCCAATCATCAATCTACTATTAAAGAATGAGAAAATGAAAACTAATTATATAGAGTGACAAAACCCTATTTTAAATGCAATTAAAATATAATAAAAGAAATCAATTAACAAACACATTAAAATATAATTAATGCCTAAAATTATATAATTAGTGTGAGAGAGTTTTTTAATGATTAAGTTGTAATAAAAATTTTATTAAAATATTTACTTTCTTATATGAAATATACATACATACTTGTATACCTTTATTTTTAAAGAATTTTTAATTGAAACCATAACCTTAGGTATTATTTTATAATTAATTATTTAATAAAAGTTAATTTTGTTTTTGTATTTACTTAAAAGTTTTGATAATTTTTAATCTTAAAATTTTTTTTTCATGATTTCTTACCTTTATTTTGTTCTGGTTGAATAATTTCTTTTTCATTTTCTAGTTCATTGACTTTATTATTACATTCGGAATAATCGAAGAATAAGAAGCCATAATAAAAATAATATGATTTCAAATTTATTTTACACTTTTTCAATTAAACACAAGAAAAAAAATTTTAATATTTTTGGCAAATTTAATATAATTTTCACTCAATTATACTTAAATATGAAAAAAATTCTCACTCAATATAATTGACAACTAAAATTTTAAGTAAAATTTTTTACAATCTATGAATTTTTTGTCAAATTTAATAAATAAAAGATTATGGTTTCTATTAATAAAATATTAAATATTTTATTAAATTATATATTTTAATTTAATTAATAAATAATTTAATTAATAAATTATTTAAATATTATATAATTTTAGAAAGCGGCATCATTTAGATTTGGAAAACGTTCACCAAAGAAAATGGATCGATTAAGACGTTCATTTCGTGATTCATTTCGTCGAAGAAAGGAACATGTACCAGAATCATCGAAACCACATCAATGGCAATCTGATGAACAAGCAGTACGTTCTGCAACATGTTCATTTCAAGTTAAATATTTAGGATGTGTTGAGGTATTTGAATCTAGGGGTATGCAAGTATGTGAAGAAGCTCTTAAAGTATTACGAGTAAGTTTATATTATATAAAATCATAATATTATTGAAATTTAGTTTTTATACTGAACCTTAACATCCAAAATACTGAGCGTCATCTAAAATTGTATTCTTAATTAAATTTACTTGACATATTGAGTTTGAATTTAGTTAGACATTAATGCTATGGGCTTGAAAGCAACATTCATTTTAAATTTCGAATTGTACAATATTGTACAATAAATTATAATTTTAATTTATAAAATAATTCTACTTTCAAATTATTAAAATCTGAAAATCTTTTACATAGAATTTTCTGAATAATATTCAGATAAAATTTTCCACGTGCGTCAACTTTGGAATACAATAAAGAATAAAAGAAATTTTTTTTTTTTGCTCATTTTTTTTATTATTGACTTTCATAAAAATTGTTATCCTTTCTCAAGGTAATTATGTATTCAATGCTATTGTCATTTATATCAATATGAGATAAAAACCAAAATATCGATTCTATTTTCTGAGAAAATTAAGATAAGCTTCAGTAATCCGCACTTTGAGGTATCAGTCGATTTATTTTTAAATTGTTTTTCTACATGTTTTTTGCTTCTTTATGATTTTGCAAACATATATCACCTCGACTACCCGACATATATTAAGGAGATGAGATATGAAATGCTTAAATAGGTTAAAAGGATTATAAGAATTTGTATTTGATAAATTTTTTAAATTCCATTTTGAATCATTTAACAAAAAATGAGAATTTTAAATAGGATATTGAATTTAAAATAAAAAATTTGAATAACAAATGCGAAAATATTTATTTATTTTTTTTGTTTTTAAATAGATTAAAGGATTACTGCATGAAGTTTTTTCTAAAATTTATTAATACTCTTATTCAATAACAATCAGATGACAAGCGAAATAAATACGAAATTTAAAATTAAACTTATTTCTTGTATTTTCATTTCTTTTTTTATTTATTTTTTAGAATTCAAGACGGCGACCAATTCGCGGTCTACTACATGTCAGTGGTGATGGTCTTCGTGTTGTCGATGATGATACAAAAGGTTTAATAGTCGATCAAACAATTGAAAAAGTCAGCTTTTGTGCACCAGATCGTAATCATGAACGCGGTTTTAGTTATATATGCCGTGATGGTACAACAAGAAGATGGATGTGCCATGGATTTTTAGCAATAAAAGATTCTGGTGAACGTTTATCTCATGCAGTTGGCTGTGCATTCGCTGTTTGTTTAGAACGTAAACAGCGACGTGATAAAGAATGTGGTGTTACAATGACATTCGATATGAAAAATTCAACATTTACACGTAGTGGTTCATTCCGTCAACAAACGATGACAGAACGTTTAGCATCAAATGAACGTGGTATTGATATATTACCAAATAATGGTATACAAACAGCAACTGTACCACCACAACCAAAACCATATAATCCATTTGCAATTGAACGTCCGCATGCAACACCATCAATGTTAGAACGACAAGGATCATTTCGTGTATTAGGCACAATTGGTAGTCAATCACCATTTAAAAGACAAATGTCATTACGTATTAATGATCTTCCGTCCAATGCTGAAAGACAAAAAGCATTTTTAGATGCCGGTGGTGGTACATTAACAACACCATTACGTAGCGTATCACCTATACCAGAAGTATCACCACAAAAAAATCAAATTGATACAGTTAGTCAATTATGCCAAGAATTAAGTCAAGGTTTATCATTATTAACGCATAACGATGATGATGATGATGATTTAAATTTTAATAACGCATTGAGCATTAATCAAAATATAACATCAAATACATTTATTAATAATAAAATTGGTACAACAACAAGTCCATATTCACCTATAACACCAATTTCTCCAAATGGTATATTAGGTGGTATACTAGGTGGTAATATTACTCCAACTCCATCAACAATAACAACACCTGGTACAAATATTATTGGTGAACGTATTATAACAACACCACCAACAGCACAAATATCTCCACAAGCTAGAATAATGAATATTTCACCGCCGGTTGGTGTTATTTCAAATGTTACACAACAACAGCAAACAACTACAATTACAACTAATACACAAATTTCAAATATGTCACCAATACATAATATAACAAAAACAAGTACAGCTGCTACAACGACTATTATTAATGCACAACAAGAGCCTAAAGTTGTTCCTATAGAAGTTGTTGCACCGTTACCTAATCCAGATCAATGGCTTGGTCAAGTTGTTAAAAGTACATCTCCTGCTCCACCAATAAAACGTGCACCTAATATAGGTAAAATTTTCATTTTTATACTATTTACATAATTTTATCTAAACAATTTTTAATTTTATATAAATTTTTTTTATTTTAGGCATGACTGGTCGTGCTAAAACAATAAGTGCAACAACAATGTCAACAACAGATCCATTTGATGCTGAATGGGTAGGTGATGTTACAAATAATAAACAACCAATTACATCTGAAATACGTAGTACTAATCCATTTATATCTCCACCAAAACCACCGGCTCAAACATTTCAAGTTCAATTGTAATTTTAAATAATTAAAATTTCACAACAATATTAAGTAATCTATTTTTTAATTATTTAAAAATAAAATTAATAAGTAATTAATAATAAGTAAAAAAAAAATTTACAGAACAAAATAACAACACAGAATATTATTTAAAATAAATATTGAAAATGAAAACTAATAAATTTCATTAAAAAACAAAAATTATTACAATATTTAAAACAAAAGAAATAAAATTGTTAAAAAATGGAATGTTGAAATTTTCAAAATTAAATAAATATAAAAATAAAAAGTATGAAATTAAATAAAAATTAAACAAAAAATTTGTGATGAAACTTTCAGGGAAAGTAAAAAAAAAAAAAAAGTAAAAAATTGAAATTTTTCAATTAATTCCAATAATTGTTTTTTTTTTTAATTTTTTTTTCTTTCTTGTATTATATTATTTTATTATTTAATATATTTAATTTTTTTTTCTTTTCTGTTTATATATATAAATGTATTTAAATCTTTTCTATTATTTTTTATTTTTTATAAGAAATTTATAAATAAAATCTCTTTTTGTAGAATAAAAATTATAAATATATAAAAAATAATAATGTTGTAAAATAATTAATTATAAATTTAAAATATTTATATAAATTAAAAACTACAACTATTAATTATATTAAAAAAAAAACTTTATTAATATTAATAATAATTATGGAAACAAAAATTCAAAAATTTAAATAATAAAAAACAAACAATTTTTTGATTCTCTAAATTTTTTGGGGGTTCCATTTACACTATTTATTTTTCAAATGGAAAAAATACATGTATATAATATACAATTATATAAAACTATTAGATTAATGTTAACATTGGGGACTTAATGTTGTAAAAATTCCAATTAATTACTTAATAACAATTTTTTTTTTGGTTTGTTTTGTACTAAAATGTTTTTTTTTTTTTTATATATACAAAACTTCTTTTTGTACACTTTTGTAAATTATAAATTATAAGTAAAATAATAAAAACAATTTTTATATGAAAAAACTCATTTATATTTAAGTAAATCATGTAATGGAAAATTCAAGAACAACTTACATAATTTTTTTTTTTTGCTTAATTTTATAAAATATTCAATATCAATTCAATTATTGAATATTATTCATTTTAAATTTATATTAAATCTATAACATTGTGTTACTATCAATTTGCATTTTGATAGTAGCCCACTCATTTACATGCAAATTAAATATAGCTATTTTGTACAATATTTTTTCTGCATAAATTTCAATAATTAAAAATATTTATTTACAAATTAATTTTGCATTTATATTTCATATACTTATATTAAATTTTAAATTTTTAGCATTTTTACTATACATAAACAAAACTGCTTTCAAAAAAATTATAGTGTTTATAAAATTAAAATTTAAAATCTATTGAAAAACTATTGAAAAACAAAATATTCTAAAAAAATTGATAATATATAAATACAATAATACTCGCGTTTTAATTAAATAAAAACAAAAAAAACTAAATACTTTCATAATTTAATTATTTTAAAAATATTAATAATATTGAATTCGATTTAATTAAATTAAATACATTTTATGTCGTTTTTAAAAATATTTATGTATTGTAAAAAATAAAAAGCTAAGTAAAAAATTAGAATGAAAAATATTTAAAATTTTTATATTTTAATTTCAATGTATTTCAATGTATTTCAACATATTTTTTTTTGAATATTGAATCAGCATGATAAAAGAAAATTTATTAATTGCGATTTTACGGGCAGCTTGTTTATATTAATTAATTATATTAAAATAATTAATTAATATAATTATGAAAATTGAATGCAAACAGAAATACATTTAATATTTATTTTGTATGTTCTTTACATGTAAAATACATTTAAATTGAATATTTATTTATTAAATTGAAGCATATAGCAAATATTTTTGGTAATTAAATATAAATTAGATTTTTCTTTTACAATTTTGCAATTAGATTTTCAATTAAAAAATTTACAAAATTTTACCTTTATCCAAAATAAATAATTTAATTTTGATTTAATTTTGAGTTAAAATTATGAATTCTTTGATTTTGTTATTTAAATTTTTTGTCCTCAACACTTATTTATTTCAAATAACATTGAAAATATTTATAATTTTTGGGCAAAACCGCATATTTTTAATTCTTAAATTTATAATTGTGATAAATTAATAAAGTAATAAATTGTACAATATAATATCTTTAATCAATAACTAATTATATTATTATTCAAAAACATTTTTTATGTATATTAATTTTATATAAAAAAATTCGCGCACACATTTGTTATCCATTCTTTAACCCATTATATCTCAGTATGTATTTTCCAATTTATTAGGCCCATTTGTATATACAACATTCTGTGTAATTATTAATAATAGTTTTGTATAGTTTTATTAAAACAAATTTTATATTTTAATATTATTGTACATAATATAAATAATTAATATGAAATTATATTGTAATAATTAAAAAAAATATGAAAATTTTTCTAACAATATATTGAATTATAACATTATAAATTTACTTATAATATGAATACTTAATAGATATTTAATAGATATTTAAAACAAATCATAAAAAATAAAAACAATAGTATTTTATTCATATTTTCTACTCTAATTTACAAATATTATAATAATAAATTATTAGTTTTTGAAAAAAGAAAGTCTCCATTTATCTAATTTTTATATTTTTTAAACCACTAATTTTTTATTTCCATTTAACATTGTTGTAATTATGTAAGATAATAGAAAATATATCTTTTATATAGAGAATAGCCCCCCCCTCATATTCATACACTCTATATACCATTATTATTAATATTAAATAGATAAAAAAAAAGAGAACTTAATTATTAAATTAAATATACAAATTATTCCAAAATCTTATTATTATTATTATTATTACTAAATAAACAAAAAAATAAGCCGATTTTTGACTATTTTTAAGATTATATTAAAAACATAGAAAAAAATAAAAATTAAAATGGCAATTTACTATTATTATTATTATTGCTAATAAAAAAAAGTGAAAAAAAAAATAAAAATAAAATAGAATTTAAATTAAGAAATTAAAAATTTTGATGTATAAAAAAACACTATTGTAGAATGAAAATTTATAGCTAAAATCATATTAAAAAATGTGTGTTCTGTATATATGAAGCTTTTTTTTTTCTATAAACAAAATATATAATATAATAATACATGTACATAATTATAATATTATATTAATTTAATAATGAAAATTTTAGAAATTATAGAAAAAAAAAATTGAAACCCGAATGTAATAAGAAGAATGTATTAAGAATGTGTAAAAATATTATTTAAATAATATTAATAATAAAAGAAAAAATTATATTGTATAAAATGCATTGTACTTAAGTAATTATTTACATGAAAACAAAAATTTAAAAAAATTAATAATTAAATAAATGAAAAAAAAAAAAAAAATGAGGGACTTAAATTGTATAGCATTTTTTTTTTCTTTTTTTTTTTTTTAATTTAATTACACTGAAAAAAAAAACAAAACTATTATTAAATAAATATATAATTTTTACTAAGTTTTATTATGTTGTTTTTGTTTTATTTTATTATTATTAATATTTATAAAAGTGAATATATTTATAAATTTATTTTTATAAAAGTGATCATTCTTTATTTTTCGTGACTTCAATAATGCGCTAAGTTTACTGAAAGCTCTTGACATTGTACACTTTTCTAAAGTGCTTTCTATATGCAATAGACACGTAAAATAAAAGTAAATCGGTTACCGAAAAAATCGAGCACGCTTTTCTATTACATGTCATACAAACGTTTCCAGAAATAATCAACCAAATAAACTAGTATATATTTTCACTAATAAAGTGCTAGTTATTAAGTTTTATTCCTAAAATGCAGAATAAAAGTATTATATTTATAATGATGTGGTAACATTGTTAAAAATTAACATTTGCACAGAACATTAAATTGAAATTTTCAAATAAGTATGTATTAATGTTGTAAAAATTGTATTGTAAAATGTATCAAAAGATTTAGCAGTTTTTTTTTTTACAATGTAAAGGTATTGAAAGCTTTGAGGCGGTAGTACAATCGTATTACTACTATACTTAAACTTTTTATAAAGCATTATTGTAGTCACGGTTTCCTTTATTTTTATAATTTCGAAATCAACAATTTTATTCTATATTTATTCTTAAAAAATTATACTTTGTATAAATTATTGTTTTTGTAAATTAATATCAAATATGCATATTATTTGCATATTATTTGCATATTTCACTATATTTTATATAAAAATTTAATTATTTTTTACACGATTATTTTAAAAAATTTACACGACTATTTAATTTTGACAATAAATTATAAATTTTTTTTATACAAAACAAAATAAATTTATGAAAAAAAAACATTCACTTAAATATTTTCATATTTTATAGAATTTTGTTAATTATGTAAAAAATTTTATAAAAAGAAAAACAGAATTAATTATATATAAAAAAAAAATATTTATAGAGACGGACCAAAATGACTAAAATTATGTAACAGGAAATCATATTTCATTCATATTAAATTTTTAATTTTAAAATTTGATTTTTAATTAGAAATAAATAAAATTTATTGATGATTTGGGCACTTATAATTGAATTCAATTAGAATTAAATTCGGTGCAAAATGTACAAAAAAAAATTATTATTATATTGATTGCAGAGGACATTTGGGAGCTTAACATGTATCTAGATACAACTACCTTTGAGGGACAATTTTAAAGAAATGGGTAGTATTCAAGTCAGCAATCAATAAAATCAATAAAAATCTCCTTTATGTTTACAATTAAAATTTCCTTAAATATTCTGTAAGATTAATAATTCTTATGTGATTATATCTATAACTTGATTCCAATAATCCCTAAGATTATAGAGTAACAACAAAACTGTAGAATCCGAAATCTAATATCATAGATCAACATCATGGTTACGAAAACTAATATCGAAATGTTTATAATTAAAACTTAATTTTTATAAAAATATTAAGATAAAGAACAGATATTACAAAAGGTACGACAAAACGAAGGCACAAATTATTGTTTTCCATTATTTAAGACCAATTTTAATATACACACATACATAATACGATTGAAGCACTACTAA